TTCGAAAAACTGGTCATGACTCACATCAAAACAACCATCAACATCAACGAGGACCCTCATCAGTACGCATACCGTGAGAACCGATCAACAGAGGATGCAATCTCCTCTGTGGTCCACACTGCACTCAACCACCTGGAGCAGAAAAACTCTTACGTCCGTATGCTCTTTGTGGACTTCACATCCGCCTTCAACACCATGATCCCCCAAACCCTGATGGACAAACTATCCACACTAGGACTAAGCCCCTCCATCTGCAACTGGGTACTAGACTTTTTAACAAACAGACCACAGTTAGTGAGGATCCACAACCTCTCCTCCTCCACCATAACCCTCAGCACTGGCTCTCCTCAGGGATGTGTGTTGAGCCCCCTCCTGTTTACTCTGCTCACATATGATTGTGCAGCTACCCATCCAGGCTGTCACATTGTAAAGTTTGCAAATGATACAGCGGTGGTGGGATGCATCACAAACAATGATGAGTCCAGCTACAGGCAGGAGGTGGAACACCTGGAGAGCTGGTGCAGAGAGAATAACCTTCACATCAATGTGAAGAAGACAAAGGAGATGATTGTGGACTTCAGAAGGAACAAAAACACCTACACCCCCCTGAACATAAGAGGATCTGCGGTGGAAGTGGTCTCCAGCTACAAGTACTTGGGTGTACACATGAATGACAACCTCAGCTGGAGCAACAACACCACCAGCCTGATCAAGAAAGCTCATCAGAGACTCTACTTCCTCAGACGGCTGAGGCGAGCTGGTCTGGGAAGCTCAGTCCTCACCTCCTTCTACAGGTGTGCAGTGGAGAGCATCCTGTGCTCGAGCATCAATGTGTTGCATGGAGGCTGCACAGCTGCAGAAAGAAAAGCTTTGCAGAGAGTGGTGAAGGCTGCACAGAAATCTGTTGGAGTCAGTCTCCCCACCATCACAGACATCTACACCTCCAGATGCAGGAAGAGGGCTACCTGCATCATGAAGGACCCCACCCACCCAGCACACACACTTTTTGCCCCACTCCCCTCAGGAAGGAGGTTAAGGAGCATTAAGTGTAGAACCACTAGACTGAGGAACAGCTTCTACCCTGAGGCTGTTAGACTCATGAATCTCTAACTAGAATAATCACTGTGAAAAACCATATCATGTTGCTGCTGATCTGTTTCATGTTGCTGCTGATCTGTTTCAATGTTGATGTGTTCATGCGTGCACATCTGCTCACAGACTCATGTTCATGTTTGTGGTGATGTTCAATGTTTTATGTTATGAGTGCTTAGTGTATATTTAGTTGATGTTTTTCTTAGTTCATATCTTAGATGTTATTACTGTTTTTCTTATACATTTTATTGTTGGATGTAACTGGGACCCTGTGTACATAATTTCGCTCCACCACATGTACCACATGAGGTGCGAATGACAATAAAGAAACTCTGACTCTGACTCTGACTCTGACAATAAACTGCCAAGCAACGGACTGTTTTGTATGCGACACTAATGTATTTAATTCCCCTTCTTCATCCCTGATCTGGCCTTTTCTTTTGTTTGTTTTTTGCCAAGAGGCAGTGATCTCTTCCTCCTCGGTTGATGCCATGATTGAAATGATGAGAAATGAAGGAATTTGTCACGAGCGAATTAAACTCAGGTCCAGCGTGGCTGCGGGAGGGTCTGGAGATTTCCTGGTGGGCTGGTCTGATGTGTGGGCTGTAGAGCCAGCTCTCTCTGTTTATTTTTTATTTTTTATATCTTTTTATCAACAACATATAAACACAGAACACCGCTGTGGCGGAGGCTGCCAGCGCTCGCTTTTTTCTTTTTTCCGACCTGTCAATCAATCCAGTAGACGTGTCAGTAAATGACCAATCGGCGACCTCAATTTGTCCCGAAGGTAAACGCCCCTTGTCTGTGAAGCTGCTCTGCAGCTGCTCGGGGTGTACGCTGGAGTATCATGACTGAACCCTCTGCGTACAGTACACGCATACGTACGCGTAAACGGACATACGCGGCAGTATACTGGAGGCTTTAGGCGATGATAAGGCATATAACAATCCTTTGATTCAGAATAAACTGGACATAAAGATGCTTGATACCCAAACAATATACAGAATATTTGGATCCCAAAATAAACTTCCTCTCTTATCACGTGACGCTGTCAAAAAGGAGGATCACGACCTTCTCCCAGTGAGTTGTGCGTTTTCAGCTGGGGAGTCATTTCATTCAGACTTTGTATGCTCTTCCTCAAGATAATGATCTCAGTAATTACTTTGGTGAAACTTGGGCTTTTAATGATGAGGGATTTCCAGCGATGGGACGCATCACTGAAACTGTGCTCCTGCCGCCATTTTCATCGCAGAGTAGAAGTATCTCCGACATGTATGATGGCTCTCCAGCTATGGAGGGACCCAATGGTTTTCACCACTGGGGCACAGCTGGGGGCAATAACATCCAGTGTCACCTTGACAACAGATGCATCCCTAACAGGATGGGGTGCGACCATGTTGAGCCGAGTAGGGAAAAGTGTGTGGTCATGGAAAATGTTACGTCTCCACATATATATGCTGGAAGTGCAGAGTTTTCCTAGCTTGAAAGTATTTTTGTCCCATCTAAAGGACCGTCATGTCTTAGTGAAAACAGGTAACTCCACAGTGGTAGCCTACATCGACCGTCAGGGCAGAACACAATCCCTTCAGCTTAACAGACTAGCCTGGGAATAAATCCTATGGAGCAGCACCAGACGCTTATCAGCCCAGGTGACCCATGTGGTGGGGATCCTGAACAGAGGAGCAGCGCTTTTGCCCAGGGACAACCCACTGTACGGGAAGTGGGGACTCCACATCCTCAAGTGGTGGAGCAGACTTGGCAGAGATACGTCAGGGCTGCCATATTTCTCTTTGCTTCATGGGAAAACACTCATTGTCCGCTGTTTTTCTCCGTGTCGGACACAAATGCTCCACTGGGGGTGGATGCTTTGAACCAGTGTGTGGGTTAGGGATGAAATTTATTTCTTTTAAGACAGCCCTGCTTTTAGCTTTAACTACAGCTAAAAGAGTGAGTGATTTACCTGCTTTATTCATCAGTCCTGCCTGTCTGCAGTGGGAACCTGGGCTCTAAGGTGTGTCTGAGACCCATTCCAACTTTTGTGTCTAAGGTGATGAATTCTGTGTACAGATGTTGTTCAGTGGAGCGGTTAGCTTTACACCCACCTCCATTCTCCTCTGAAGAGGATCCAAGTCTTAACTCTCTGTGCCCTGTATGGATGCTGAAAGCATATGTTGACAGGACAGCTGGCTTCAGGAAGTCAGACCAGCTGTTTGTTTCTTGAGCCACCACTCATAAAGGCAAACAAGTGTCTTGCCAGAGGCTGGCATACTGAATTGTGGAGACCATTATTCACTGTTACAGATGTAGGGTCAATTGGTCTATGCCACCAATTGGTTTGAAAGTCCATTCTACCAAGAGCATAGCCACATTATGGGTCCTGTTTCAAGGGGTATGTGTCCAGGATATTTGTGCAGCAGCTAGCTGGGCCACACCACACACGTTTGTGCACTTTTACAGGCTGAATGTGGCTCAGCCATCCTTAGCTCATGCAATACTGGACACCAGAATTTCAAAGCCCTCTTAATTCGGGTTCAGGACACTTGTTGGTTTCAGAGCTTTCATGCAAAACAGGAGTGGGCTCTATCTCCCTTAGTGGAACACCAAACAAAGTTAGAAAAAGAACATTAGGTTACTTAATGTAACCCTGGTTTTCTGATAACAGAGTGAGGTGTTTAGTCGACACTATCCTCCTTGCATAGACATTGAAAGAAACTAGGGATACACAAAATTATCGACATGGTATCGGAATGAGCCGACATTAGCGTTAAAGTTCAATATTGGACATCGGCCATTCCATTAAAATAACTCGCCGATATAAAAGACGTTTTTGCCTGCAGCGGCAGCACAACGTGAGGATGTTGCAACGGCAGCACAACGCAATGACGTCACATGCGCCTACCTGATCTCACGGTGGAGAGGAAAATTCAAAATGTTGGCATTGTGGAAGTTTTATTTTTCGTTGGCGAGGATGTCGGCTTCCGAAGATTTATGGACTACATTGAGCCTCGCTACATCGTCCCAGTTGGAGATATTTTTCAGACATAACCAGAGTTACAAGCCGTCATTTCAGACGTCATTGAGAAGCTAATAGCCGATAGCACAACTTGTTGGGTGAGTTTTACCACAGACATTTGGACGTCGTGTTAGCCCCGTTAGCATAATTAGTCTTACGGCACAAATGGATAGACAAAAACTTTGAACTTAAAAAGGCTGTCCTTCATGCACAGGAGTGCAGAGGATCCAACACTGCAGCTGGGAACCTGGAACAAGCCTCAACAAGTGAGACGACATCGCAGGTGGCTAATGCTAATAAATAACGTTTAATACTTTTCATTTAATATTAAGTTAAAGTGCTATGCATATCATATGGCTGTTACTGAATATATGTCACCAGCTCTTACAGATGTTGTACAATTTTTGTAGCAAATAAGCCTAAATAAGAGGGCTATGTTCTGACAAAGGAACGTATATTAAATATCAGTATTGGTTATCGATCAAATAAGTTTTAACATATCGGCATATCGGATATTGGACAAAAATCAAATATTGTGCATCCCTAAAAGAAACCGTCCTAGAACTAATAAGAGGTGATCAGTTTACCGTGGTATCATGATGAGGGCAGAGCCCTGAGCACAACTCAAAGGGTCTGTCCCAGACAGACGTGATGTCATTGGAGCTTCCATAGTAGGTTATTCTAGAGCGTTCCCCATAGTGAAACACCCCACTCTTCTATCAAAGAACCAGAGTTACATTAAGTAACTTAAAGTTATCCACTGCTGTGATGATTCATGGGGAAACACGTGTTCTTATTTTGCTGCTGTTTGATTTAAGCACATGAATCAGCGTTGCCATTTATGCAAAGACTTTGAAAAAATTAAGCTTTCAGTTTGCATGTCTAGACAACTTACCCTGTTTTCATCATAGATGATCTGAACTATGCTGCGGTGCTTGTGCTCCACTGGGGGAGGGGTCGCTGGCTTCTCGGGCTCCACCGGCTTTGCCGCTTCCTCCTCTAGTTGTTGCTAAGAGACAGGTTCAACATGTTAAAAAAATTCTGACAAGAAATACACAAAGTATAACAAACAAAACCACTAGTGGTACAATTTTTCTACACATACCTAAACTCTATACATTTAGATTTATGCATTTATTTTTACTTAGTAAAAATGATGATAATCGCAGATCTACTTTGATATCGTTTACTGGACCCTATCACCCAGATCTCTGTGGGGAGTGCAGGTTTTATCCGACTATTCCCCGATTGCGTTTACCATAGGGGCCAAGATGATAAAGGCGGCCTAGCGAATTAGATGAGGGTTAGATGGAGCATTGCATACAAGTCTGTATTCAAACTACTGATGTACAGAAACAAAACTGGGAATACTTGAAATGCTGCAAAAAAAAAAAAACCTAGAGAAAAATTCTAACAGAATAAAGGCAGAGAAACAGGGCAACATCTATTTCAGCTCAAAGATTATGAGCCAATGAGGCTGAATTCAGGACAGCTTTTAAGACACCCACAACCTCAAAAACAAGCACATAAAAATAAAAATAAAATAAATAAACAAACCGAAAAGCTAAAATTATTTTATAATTAATATTTTTGAAACATATGAGAATAAGTTACTTTTGACTCAGTCTTTCAAGTTGGAAGCATAACTATGAACTGCTTATGAAAACGTTTTGTAAAATTGTGCTTAAAATCAAGTTTTTTTAAAGATTAGTCAGTTTATCAGTAAAAGACATATAAAAAAAATGCAGAATTCTGTTTGTTTTGCTACTTCTATTATGCCAAATTACTGGCATAACAGCTTAAAGAACTGTTCTGCAGTTGGACAACCTGACATTCTGCTGTCAAAAAACAATTATTTTTAAAGCAAATAAAACAGTCATACATAAATGTTGTAGATGTAGTATGCTCAAACACCAGCCACCATATTATAATAAAACTGTTTCAAAAACTTGAATTTACTGCAGTTTTGACTAGGAATGTGCGATATGGCATAAAATTCATATCACGATATGTACTGTGAAGGGTGGCGATAATAATATATATTGCGATTTGTTTTTGTTCTAAAACTTTTCAAAAAAAGCATAGGGTGTCCTTTTGCCATAATTTATTTTGAATTAAGAAAATTCCACTACTAGGTCCAGAGAGTTTTTAAATAATAAACAAATCAAGTATTAGGCTTCTTTCTTGTAGTGCAAAACAGTGCAAAAGATATCAAATGTAGTTTTAGCCATATGTTTTAAACAAAAAAATATGTTGTTAACTCTTAACAGTTTCCAGTCTTACTTAAGAAATGAACAGCAACAGAGCAGCTTTAAGAAGAGCTGACACAAAATGACTGTGACTTTGACCAGAGGGTCTTGCAGTAAAATCACATAACACAGCGTTCTTATCACAGATCAGAGAGCAGGTTTCTCTAAAGATGACCAACGCTTACTTTAACTTTTGACGGGGGAAAAAAAAAACTTTTGACGTAACACAGCGTTTTGCACATGCGTCAGAATACGGCAACTCTACAGCAAGCCAGCCTTAGTTAGCTTGTAGCTTTGCTACTTAGCTCTCGAAAAAAAGACTTTAAAGCCACTTGCGCACAGTTTTCAACCAAAAAAAGTAACGACTAAACTGACAACTCTGATTTTACTTCAGACACAGCATTACTGCGGTTAGCCGGTAGAAGACAGATCTATATCGTAGGCTAAATTTCTATCGTTTCTACCGTGTACCGTTTATATCGCGCATTCCTAGTTTTGACATTTCTTCCAAAAAACTCATATTTATCATTTGCTGCAGATACTTGACAGAAGTTTTGCAAACAGATTGATTGAATCTATGATTAAAATGATTAAAAACATTGAATCAAATCTAAGTTGAGTTAAGATCACATTAGCCAAAAGAGGTTAAAAACAACTCGTTACAAAGTATAAATCCTTTATAAGATAAAACAAGGAGACGGGGAGTCGTCACCAAATATCTCAAAGGAAACTCAAACTTCCTGTTTAGTTTTTTTTTTTTTTTTCTCTTGTCCTGTCCGGCATTGTGACACTTACAATTATTGTCTGAGTGTCAAAGTGATGCCCAAAAGATTTACTTTCACAAGCAGAGCATTATAGCTGGCCTTAATGCTCCACTTGATATATAGATTAAGTTTTATTAGAATTTGCTTTGAGCTTGTTTCAGATGTAATGGACACGGGGATGAAAAACAAAGACGAAAACAAAGCAGAAAAGTGAGAGAAGGGTTAAAAGATAAAGAAGGAGATAGGAATAGAGGAGAGAGAGCGGTATAAAGAGATCACAAATCAAAATCATTGAAGTCTGCCTCTAGACCTGCAGAAAGAGAAAAAAGACAAAACCGAGAAACCACAACAACAAACAACATATATAATGATACTTATAACAACAACAAAACAACATATATAATTCAAAAAGCGTTCAATACAAAAACAACTGGACTTTATTTGTAACAGAAGAAGTTTCGCTCCTCATCCGAGGAGCTTTCTCAATTCAAAGAGCAGAGAGTGAGAGATACAGGTTATAAGGCTGAGTGAGATAAGACACACACACACATAAGACACACACACACACACATATGTAGATTGGCAGTTCACACCTAAAAACCTAAAACAGTAGGTCTTTGTTCCTCTAATTCACAGTCGAGGCCCCTCTGTTCCCATCAGGTGTGAAAACCAGCTGGGGATCTGTTTTAAAGTTGCATTATATGTTTTTGAAAGTGGGAATCTGAGGCCTCCTCCTCTGTTAAGAGACGGCTTTTCTCTTTTTACATAAATTGCTTCCTTCACCCCCCTCTCAAACCATCTGTATTCTCGGTCCAAAATGTGCACATTTTGGTCCTCAAAAGAGTGTCCCTTATCTGTGAGATGGAGGTGAACAGCTGAGTCTTGTCCTGTGGAGCTGGCTCTCCTGTGTTGAGTCATGCGTCTGTGAAGAGGCTGTTTAGTTTCTCCAATGTAGAGGTCTGGACAGTCCTCGCTGCACTGGACCGCATACACTACACCACTCTGTTTGTGTATGGGTGTCTTGTCCTTAGGGTGGACCAGCCTCTGTCTGAGAGTCCTGCTGGGTTTGAAATGTACTGGGATGTTGTGTTTGTTGAAGATCCTTCTGAATTTCTCTGATACTCCAGCAACATAAGGGATGACAATGTTTTTACGTCTGTTGTTCTCCTTTTTCTGTTTATTAGTGTGTTTTGTAGATTTCCTCTCTGACTTTACAAAAGCCCATTTAGGATATCCACATGTTTGGAGAGCTTCTTGAATGTGTTTCAGTTCCTTTTCCTTCCCTTCTGTCTTCGTGGGGACGCATTCGGCCCGATGTTGTAAAGTTCTGATGACAGAGAGTTTGTGTTCCAGTGGATGGTGGGAGTCAAACAGTTAAAACAAAACTGTTTGTCCTGGATGACTGAGAATCTTCACCAACATATATAATGATACTTACAACATAAAGTATTTTATAAAGTACATGGTAATAAAAGATATATTTTGTGGTCACCACAACCTAACTGAGTGTGTATCTGATAAACACCTGAATCTAAACACCTGTGTGAACATGCTTGTCACTATAAGGTTTCTCCATAAAAATGTTCAATAGTGGATGTGGGGACCCACAGACCCACCCCCACAGGACACAGTGGTAACACAGGGAAGACCGGAGCCACAGACACACAGCGGTCCCCAAGCTCAGAGCTCCGGGATTCCCCCAACAGGGACACCCGCACCCCCCAGAGAGAGAAGCCAAGGGAACCCCCGGGCGATCCTCAGCAACCACAATGCAGAAACCCCAGGAGGCTGCAGCGATGAATCCACAGGCCCCACCGGCAACCCGGCCCTCCAGAGTAGATCCAGCCATGGACACCGAGCCCCGAGTCCCGAGGTCATACCACCACCCAACAGAGGCCCAACAGTGCCAGGGCACCCAGGCCCCGGCAGGCAGCCACCAGGGCAGGCCTGCACACACCTCACCACCCAGCCCCAGATGCTGAGAGCCGCCAATGCACCGATGGCAGGGGAGCCCACCACCAGAGGGGAGCGCGATGGGGGAAGAATACCCCACATTAAATGGAGGGCTCAAATTGATCCAAGAGAGGGGACCACCTAAAACCTAACCCGAGACATAAACAGGCACACAGAGACAGCCCAACAGGCACACAGAGACAGCCCGACAGAGCCTCTGTCGGGCCGTCCATGCGCCCCACCCACCCGACAGCGACCGCAAGCCGGCCCCAGGCCGGGAGCCAGAGCAGCAGGGAGCAGCAGCCGAGGAAGGCCAGCCCAGCGCACCAAGGATCAGGCACCCCAACAGCCCCACACCACAGGCCCAGAGAAGCCCCAGCATGCCACCTATGCACCCTCTCCACACACACACACACAGCTCCGCCCACCGCGAATGTCACATCAGGCCGACCAGCCAGCACCCCGTCAAAGCGAAGCCACGCCCCCGACCATTCATTCTTCGTCCTCCAAACACGGCGAGTGGAATTAAGACCAAAAAGTTCTATTTTGGTCTCATCTGATCACATAACTTTCTCCCATGACTCCTCTGGATCATCCAAATGGTCATGGGTAAACTTAAGACGGGCCTGGACGTGTGCTGATTTAAGCAGGGGAACCTTCCGTGCCATATGTGATTTTAAACTATGACGTCTAAGTGTATTACGCACAGTAACCTTGGAACCAGTGGTGCCAGCTCTCTTCAGGTCATTGACCAGCTCCTCCCGTGTAGTTCTGGGCTGATTCCTCATTTTTCTTAGGATCATTGATACGCCACGAGGTGAGATCTTGCATGGAGCCCCAGTCCGAGGGAGATTGACAGTCATGTTTAGCTTCTTCCATTTTCTAATAGTTGCTCCAACAGTTGATCTTTTTTCACCAAGCTGCTTGGTAATTGCCCCGTAGCCCTTTCCAGCCTTGTGGAGGTCTACAATTTTGTCTCTGGTGTCTTTGGACAGCTCTTTGGTCTTAGCCATGTTAGTAGTTGGAGTCTTACTGATTGTGTG